AGTTCACCTACAATCAAAGAGCATTCTGAACCCCACCAATGATAGAATTGGGCCAAACTTCCAACACAGAACCCCCATGACTACCAGAAAATACTATGTTTTCTGATAGTCTTTGGTGACCCCTCTGACACCCCCTCATGACTCCCCCAGGGGTCCTGATCCCCAGGTTGAGAAACACTGCTGTAGAGGTTCTCCAGATGTGCTAGATTCTCAATGGTGATTACGTGTCACCTTTGCTCCTTTACAGCTCCTTGAATTTTTTTTCTGACCAAGAGAAAAAGACTTTAGGAGCCATTAGAAGTGGCAGTTTACCTTTCAAATAAATCTTATCCTTGCTAAAGTTTGCCACTGTGCTAAACATTAAACTTCAAAAATCCAACAGAGATCTCAGGCTGCCACCTACTGGAATAATTTCTAAAAATAACATTAAAAAAACAGCATAGTCTTTTAAAACACACACAATGTCAAGTTTGAACATTAACATTTTGCAAAGAGGTTTGGGAGCTGTGATGTGGCTTAAATGGTTAAACTTCACCATTTCCAAAATGGTTAACAGAAGCACAATCTTCTTCCCTATAAACTACCTGTTACAAGCTCTTGGTATGCCTCCAACCAGCATGGCTACCAGTTGGGGTAATTGCATCCAATACTCAAATATTCAGAGTATTTTCCTTTGACTGCTATAACAGTCTGTCAATTACACAGGATGCATTCTGACACAGAAGAATAACCAGGAAAGCACACAGATCCAGGAAGGCCGGACAGACTCCATTCTAATGTGAAGTGCCCTGTTTTGTAGTGGTAAATGAGTCTCCTTGTGGAGAGAAAAAGTGGGGTATAAATAATAATAATAATAATAATAATAATAATAATAATAATATTTATTACATGATTTAATACAACAACCAGCATAGTGATCTTGTTTGTCTGCACCAATATTTTATTTCAAATAATAATAATAATAATAATAATAATAATAATGGTGGTCCCAGTGGTGATTGGCACACTGATTGCAGTGCCTAAACACCTTGGCCTGCACTTAAAAACAATTGACACTGACAACATTAACATCTGTCAGCTGCAAAAGGCCACCCTACTTGCATCTGCATGCATTATTCACCGATACAGCACATAGTTCTAGACACTTGGGAAGTGTCCAATGTGTGATCAAATACAAAAGGCCACCATAGTGATCTTGTTTGCTGTGCACTAATCTTGTTATGTATATAATAATAATAATAATAATAATAATAATAATAATAATAATAATAACAACAATATCTGATGCTCAGGCCCTCAGAAGAAATTAAAGTAATACCGTAACTCACTGCATAATAATAAAACTTTTTATGGATATGAGTATTACACGAAGAAAAAGATTGTGTGGAGTTGGTTGGGTCTCCCACAGGATGCCTTCACTCTGGTCTGGTCTTCAGATCTTAGGAGGGTAAAACGATTTGGCAGTGCAGAGGTGAGCTTTTTGTGGAAATGCTCTCCTTGGAGCTTTGTTTGGCAACTTATCTTTTGTCTTTTAGAGTGTAGTTTAGAAGTCTGTGCCTGCAACGAGGGAACGGTCTGGCCCTTTGGGAGTTAAATGGGAGATCTTGGGCAAGTCAGACTCTCTGAGGAAGGAAAGGGTAAGCCTCTTCCGTTCCAATCATGTTACGAAAACCCTGTGAAATGTTTGCCTTAGCGTTGCTGTAGGTCAGAAACAACTTGAAGGCACACAACAACAAATAATTTGTTTAGTTAATTTTATAATGCACTTTGTGGTTCCTGTTGAAGTACAAATGTCAGAGGATGCACATTTTAAATAAAGAATATATTATTTGAATTCACAAACATATTAAAATAACACTTTTATAAACACATTTCAAAGTTCAACAGAAGGAGAGACAAAGGGTGTAATGGAGTGGCTTGAGCTTCTGCCATAAGGGCAATGGTTTTTGAAGCCCTTGTTAGCAATGTGATCAAGTGTTAACAGCAATCCAGTGCCAAGGCATGGGTTAATTTGTATTAGTGATCATTTGGATACTTTTTTACTTTAGTTTGATACCTTGTGTTGGTGAAGATATTGAAGGAGTGGTTTCTTCTCCTGTTATTAGCCTACTTGCACCATTCTGTTACGTCACAGGGGAAGGAGAATAGGTCATACGTGAGCACTTTGATTTTATTTCTGTACCTAATCACCCTTAGCTGTTCATCTTCCATTAGCCTTGTGGTGGGGAACCACCATTCCTCAGCTCAATATGGGAAATATAATCAGTGGCATGATTTGTTCAGGAAGTAGATTTTGCATTCCTTTGAGGTTGAGAGCATGTGACTTGCCCAAAGTAACTTAATGACTGTCCATGGCCAACAAAGTAGGCAAAGTCGGGGTAACTATTAATGGCACAGAATTAACTGCCCAACTTCTAATATTTATCAGCAAGAATTTAATTTTCAGAGTCCACAGGTCCAGGATTATTTGATACTTGACACTTACCTCCTCAAGGTTATCTGCCTTTTCAGAATCTTCCACTGTCTGTTTTGGGAGTTGTCATCCAAAGCAGAAAAACTTCCAAAGTGGGATGGAACAATTAGCTTCTCTGTCCAACTGGGAACCATTGTGATTGTTATGTGTCTCCAAATCTAGTCTGATTTACAGCAATGTACACGTGCCATCAAATTTGCTTAGTAAGATTTCTTTAGTGGAACTATCCCATTGACTTTGTCTGAGGCTGAGAGTGTGTGACTTGTCCATATCTCAGGTGGGATTTGAACCCTGATCTCTTAGAGATCTTGAATCTCATCAGATGGGCAGGGGGAAAACGGAGGGAACTGTCCTTCATTCCCTACCATCTTTAACCTGTCTTCTGGGATGGCCTCTCATTCTATGTGGTTTTCCGTCCTTTCCCCACTTTCTCTTTGGGTTCTTCAATGAAGAGTTGGGTAACACCCGACTCCTCCAAAGGTACAAATATAAAAAAAAGAATATTCTTGCTCTTTCCTTCCTAGCAATATTGCATATTTTATGTTATGGATAATTTTATTTCAATCAGCAATGCATTGGTAACCTCCAGGTTTAAAGTTCATGCTAATAAATCAAGAGGTGTGATGAAACAGTGGGTAGCCTGGTCCTATCATTCACCCAGAAGGTGGAGGGGAAGACAGCTATAGAGATGGTATTTTGAGTGTAAAACTAGCAATTGTTTTTCAAAATCAATGAACTGGTAGTGGGACATTTTCTAAGATGCTTTTCCAAAAAAGGGACAATTTTATCCTTCTTACATCCTGCTTTTACCTGTTGAATTTTACAGTGTTTTGTATAGATGCTGGTTAGATATTGTTACACATAACTGATCTTTAATATTGGCTTACTGGTAAATGTGCAGTTCCTAGCACACAATGCACTTGCATTGCTGCACCTCATGATGTATATTTTGCACACTCTGTTTTATCCTGTTTGCATCCTACTTTTAACTGTTGGATTTCCGTGTTTTGTATAGATGTTTGTTAGATGTTGTTTCTGTTGGTGTAAATGCATATGACCATTGGTCAGAGCATTGATTGATTGATTGATTGATTGAGAAAAGGGACACTAACTGTGAGCAAATCTTTCTCTTAAATTGGCCTGTTCTTGGAGTGATGGGTCATGAAAGATCTCTTGAACTTGGAGTCAAATGCAAGGGTGTCCTAGATTGAGAATAGAGATTCCAGCTGAATTAGATCTGATCCCAAGCGGGTCACTTGTTTCACTCAAGGCCCTTCCTCAAAGCTATATAACCTAGGCCCCTTCTACACAGCTGAATAAAACCCCATACCCATATCTGCTTTGAGCTGGGATATATGGCAGTGTGGGCTCAAATAATCCAGTGCAAAGCAGATATTGTGGGATTTTCTGTCTTGATATTCTGGGATATAGGGCTGCGTGGACGCCCCCCCCCCCGAGTATCAAGGCCGAAAATCCCACAGTATCTGCTTTGAACTGGGTTAATTGAGTCCACAGTCCCATATATTCCAATTCAAAGCAGAAAATGTGGGATTTTATTCAGCTGCGCAGAAGGGGTATCAGTGGAGGGAATTGATTACTCTAAGGCAAGACAGGCATAAGGCAATGCAACAGGGCTCCTGATATGTGAGAGAAATAGGTACACTGATTGGGAGGTGAAACAGGCAGAACGTATCATTACTTGAGGCAACTGCCCTCATAACTTTGAACATTCACTTCAGACAAAAATACTGATCTGCTTGTGTAGAGTAAGCTTTAAGGTGAGTTTGAGTGCTGGCTTAGATGTATATAGGTATATCATAGCTATGTGTTTGATTAAATATCTCAGCTTTACACATACACACACGTTTTGCACACATGCTTGTGTATGTATCTGCATGTTTGTGTATACACACATACACACAAATGCATCTCTAGCATTTTAACTACTTACTGTTCTGTTATTGTTGACTGTGCAGTGATTACATGCACAGGAATTACTCTGAGAGACTACATCCATGGTGGGTCATCTCTGCAAGTCCAGTGGCCAGTTTTGGCCTCCCAGATCACACTAAAGGCTGCCCACACTTGCTGGTGTGGTGAGCATTTCATTCAAAAATAAACATTCTTTTACCATTGTAATTATCCATAGTAGTTAACTATAGGCCCTTCTAGACAGGCCTTATATCCCAGGATCAGATCCCAGGTTTTCTGTTTATCCCAGATTATCTGGCAGTGTGGACTCATATAATCCAGTTTAAAGCAGAAAACCTGGGATCAGATCCTGGGATATAGGGCCTGTCTGGAAGGGCCTAAGTCATAAGATGCCAAAACAAAAACAGTAAGTAGTGACTTTACAAATTCAGTTCCAAAGTTTTGGTTATCTTCACACTGCTGGATGGGCAACAGACCATGGATTGGAGAACCAATTCAAAACACAAATTGTAGTTAACAAAGATTCAACTTCTATTCAACTGAACTGAAAAAGTAGCTAATTTTCTCATAAAAGTGAACAGACTGCATGCATTGGTTAGGGTAAGCAATCACTTTAATTTGTTCCAGATTCTAAAAGTGGACAAAATAGATGCAACTCATTATAAATAACAACAAACCAGGAAAGATCACAGATGTATGTGTGTGTCTGTGTGTGTATAAGAGAAAGAGACAGTCAGACAAGACAGCTTTTACAAAAAGACTTACAGATAGAGATATAATTACTCCATCCATTCAACACAACAATTCCGAAAGAAGACAAATAAACTACTTATTCAGAAACTTGCTAAATACTCAGGACAAGAAGTAGTTTTTCTAAGAAAAGCAAGAAAGAAAAGAAAAGTACTGTACAAAAATGAATAGATTTTTCTTTTTACATCCTATTGAGGCACATGAATACAAACTTGGTTCTATTTTATATATACAGATTTACAGTATATTTTGGGGCTGGGGAGGGAAGGCAGGGCCAGAACAAAGAAGAACGAACAAATAAATGACCTTCAAAATATATAAAATTTGTGGCAAATAGCTGATCAAAGGTGGGAAAATGGAATCTGTACATAGTCAAGTTGAAGGCACAAATACTAAAACTATAATCATGCAAAACAATTTAAAAAACCTCAACCCTTACTCATAGGTACAATTGGTGCAAAAAAGCAAAACTAATGGCTCTCACATTAAATGTTTACAGCAATTCTCAGTATATTTCAGTATTGAAATATACAGAAAGCTCAATGTACATCCTGCCTTGTAGCATAGATTGAAGCAGCTATTTTTAACTCTCCTGCTCACTTCAAAAGACCAAAGTGATAATTTTACAAGGTGGGATTGAGCAATGATGAAGGAGCGTATCCTGATGAGGAAAGGTTGCAAAAATTCTCCCATTCTCCCTGCTGTGACTGTTTGTTAAAATGTTTGGTTGCTTGAATCATTCTTCTCCCATGTCTTGTTCATGTCTTTGCTAGAACCCAAGTGAAAAGGGTGGCACCATGAGCTCATCTGGATTGATGACTACTTTCACACCAGTGTCAACATCTAAAATAATTACCAAATCTTTGTTCGTCTTTACTCCTTCCCAACATTTGTTCTCTGTGTCCTGCAACCGATACAAACATTGGCTTTTGGTTGCCCAGTTTCCGACAAGTAATTAAAATCTAAAATTCACATTTTGAATTTTGCCCAAATGAGCCACTCATACCTAACATTTGTGTTATATTTGTAGTTTTTTATATATATACACTTTCTATATACTAGTGAAATGCATTTAAGTCTGCACCACTGTAGACAGGGAAACAGCAATGGGCTTGGTTTTGCTTATCTCCCTGCTGAGATGAATATTGTTCCCTGAGGTTCTCTCCCATTTGATATGATAATATAGAAATAGCTGCTATACTCCTATATTTCATTTTTTTCAGGCACCACAGTTCCAGTGTCCCTATTTTTGGGATTTGTCTAACTACCCTATTGCCTCCTTAACATTCATGTCAAACCAGAATCTGTCAGCTGATGGTTTTATTCATTTGCTCCAGTTTTTATTTCAAACTTTATAGCAGTGGTATCCAGCCATTGGTCCTCTGGGTGTTTTGACTTCAACTCCCAGAATTCCTGAGGATTGGACAAGCTGATCAGGGCTTCTCAGACTTAAAGTCCCAAATCCCTGGAGGAGCAAAGGGTAGACAACACTGCTTTAAAGTAACCATACAAGGTACTGAATCCTTTCCTCAAATAAGGTCAGGACCTTGGACAGCCCCTTTGAAATATGCAAGCCACCAGATCATGGAAAATGAAAAATGTAGTTGAGCTCATTGTTAATCCCTTTTTTTCACAATTTGATGCCTGTAAATGAATCCGTAGACCTGGACTAAAAAGGCAGCAAGTATGTGTAAGAATGAAGAGTGTGAAGTTGCCCTGGAGGATTTTAATTCAAGCAAGTGTGTCTTGTTTTCTCCCTCTTGCCCTTCCCTCTCCATTTTGGTAATGGCAGGAACAGAAAAAAATATTATTTCCAAATAAGGATAATCAGTTTTGAAACTGCATTTCTTGCTGAGGTTTACATGTGAATTATATTGAAATTGTCATTGTGGATTGGTTTACAAATCCAAATGAATGGGGAATACTCTTTGCCACTAAGTAAGTAAGTAAGTAAGTAAGTACCCTTTGCCACTATCCTGCTTCAGGTGGTTCACATGATATGTCAGAAAGAAGGATTTGATGACATGTATGTGGCAAAAAATTATCATCCCCCAATATGCTTTTTTCAAATAACAGAGGAATTACAAACTCATATAATTCCCTTACTTCACGATGACATTGTTAATATAACCAGACTGGTGGTAAAAATAATTTTCAAGAATTTTGCCAATTCAATACAATCTGAAGCAAGATAACAGAATCATTCAACAAACCTAGTGTGTGGTATATGAAGGATACTCAGCCAACAGCAGAAATCCTACCTAAGGCCACTTTGTGAATAAAGACACATACATATGTGCTATACTCTCCAATAGATTGGCTCCATGTTAAAGGGTTGGAAAATCCTTCTTACATCTCCTACTTCAGTCCACTTCATCCGACTATTTATGTATACTGCTTTTAAAAATGGCTAGCTTATGAAAGCACCTAGATGACTCTACAGTTCCCTTACTGCTAGAAAAGTAAATAAGCCTCAATATTTTGGCTGGCATTTTGACTGATTTTTCCCTTTTTCTTGACCATGCTAGGCACAGATACGGATTTCTCACTATCCTGACACAAAGTAACATTTCATGAACTTGATTCACAGGGCAATCCTATGTATGTCTATTTAAAAGAAGCAATGTTTAGACAAGAACATTATCTGAATGGGGAAATTTGCTAAGGATGTTTTGAGATTTGCTCATCTTTATATATGTGAACAATGACCAAAGGAAGTAAAGTTCTTAGCTGGAAGAAGAAAAGGCTGAAAGGTGATCTATTTAATACTGTAGCTATGGTGGTATATGTACTTGTTGTGGTATATGTACTTAGCTGAGAGAAATCTGAATCTTTGTACTGCACGGCACATACTATACACCTGATGACTTCACTCATTGCTGATCCGAGTCCTTGACTTGGAAATTATATTTGGGGGGAATAGCTTGCAGAAATCTGAAAGCAGGCCAGATACTATTCTTTCAAAATGGCAGCCTCAAGGCAAAGGCACTAATTCAAAGAAGATGGTTAGTCACTAGACATATCACCCATGTTTGTATGCAACATCACTGGCACTGATAACTATAAATAAAGCCAAAGGCATTGGCACATTACTTATGAAGGCCCATTTATTGATGACTGCACATAAATTTATTGGGCTGAGAATTCAAAGAAATCATCATTCAACACCTTCTAGTGCTCAGAGGAACTCTAACCCAATGTTGTCATCTTCAAATGTATTGGGCTACTACTCCCATGTTCCTTGTGGGCTTACAAGAGGGGAATGTTGGGAGTTGTAGTCAAGCATTTCAAAGAGTGCTAGGTAGCAGGAAGTTGCTCTAACCTAAGGTTCTGTACAACACATGCTAATCCAAACTATTTAAAATCTTTCTCCGCACAACCTTGGAAACCATGCCACAGTCCTCCAACACCAGTTAACTCTTGTGCTTAACACATTCCCCCTTCAGTTTTCCCCGATTTCTTGACTCCTGCTTACCTTCTTCACTCTCTTCTCTCAACTTTCAACTTCTCTGCACTTTGCGCATTACAACATGCCCAGTTCTTTCAGCTTATAAAGAACACATCTCATATTGTTAAAACTGTCATCAAATCAAACATAGATATTCATCCTACCTGCAGCCCTGTCAATGCAATCACCTACTTCATGAGTTAAAATCTGATCACTTGAAAAGTTGGGAGTATCCATCTTTACCTTTCCCAAAGAGTCATGAAGTGTTAGAACAAATTGTTCATGGAATGGAAAGTGAAAATAATGTCGACATATAATTTTATCCACTCCAGAATGTTAACTGAGCCAAAGAGGTGACCGGTCAAAAGCCAACATAAACATTTAACACTTAGGCCTAAAATATAGTTGCTAGTCTCAATAACGTACACCCATTAAATCAATAAGAGCTTGGAAAGTCACACTGATGTGAGTTTCATTGATTCAGTGAGTCTATTCAGCACTACCAGCTGAATTCAGGCATTTCAGTCAAACAGTTTTTGTTGTCAACAGGAGGAAGAAGGTAAAAGTAGGATGAGAAAGAATTCTAGTCCATGTTAGTGATTTTTGTGAGTCTCCTGAACATCCTTGGAACAGTGCTGGAAAGGAACCTCCCTGTCTCTGTGATCAGAAATGAATGTGAGACCATGGACTCAAATGTCATCATATGCAAATGTAGATACAGAATTGCTAGCAAACTAAGTTTAGAAAACATTAGTAATCTTACGGTTTTCACCCATTTACACAAAAACCCATCCCTGCTTATCCTAAACTCTGTTTACTTCTGCAACATAATTTAGACAAAGAAGGGATCCAAGAAGAGGGGATCCACCTCCTCCAGAGGATTTACCCCATATTGGTAAATAACTGAGAATAATTATTTGTCAATCTATAGCCAATCAACAGATATTACTGGAACATCTAGAATCACCTTATAAAAAGCCCTGATTTTTAAACCATTGTTTAAGGGCTTAACATTAATACTGAGTGAGTCAATTTTTATTTATTTTTGTAGCTTCAGTTCCTAGACTTAGAATAATTTATACACATCAAATTTAGTGCCTGTTTAAAGACAAGATATATTTTAACTTTGTACTGCAAGTTGTATTTCTGTTTTACACATTATGGAATTTTCTGCATGTGAACCGCAAATAGCAAATGGCATAAAACCTGCTTGGGATAACTTCTGTCTCCCTCTTACAAACACTAAACAAACATTTATGTGTCTGATTGTCGCATGCAACAAAACACATGCAACTTTCATTGCCATTTCCTACATAGAAAGCAATTCCACATAGAATGTCGTGTGTATGTGAAGCAGCTTTTAATTGAAAAAGCAACATTTCAACCACTGAGGTTGTGGATTTATTCTTTCCTAGTGATTTCTCTGCTATAGTGAGCCTGTCTGATATATTTGACAACTTAAACAAACAGATGAGCAGGTTAGAAAGCAGTGGTTTAAAAACAATGGAAAAGAAAACATAGAAATAACCAGGGTGACTCAGTAAATGCTTTCAGATAGTAGTTGTGACTTCAGATTAGAAGCTACTTTTTTGAAACTACACAGAGAACTTCGGTAGCTTTCTTTTTGAAGTCCAAAAATGCAGCGTTTCTAAGCTCTGCCAAAGATTACTATGCAGCCCGCATTGAGTGACCAAGTTTTTCCCAACTGATTGCCCACACTTGCAACCAATTCTCATATTTTGCTGTGACTTTCATTAAAAAATGAGCTATTGTACTGAATAAATAATGTGGAGTGTAAACAAACATTTCTTCCAAAACTTCAGTGAAGAATTTTAAAATTTTGCTCTTAAATAAAGCACAGAATTGAGTTTAGCCCCAGGTCCCTGGGAAACTAGTTAAGGCAAACATCTGTACAATTGCTATTTTTTCTTAATTATTGGATTGATAACAAATGCAAAACAGGCCATAAACCAGTGGAGGAACTTCTTCTGAGCACTGGGATGAAATGCTACAACCCCGTCAGCAATTTTTTTAAAAACTCAAGCCTCAGCCTGTTGATTTCCTCTTGTGAATAAGAGGGTACAGAACTTCTGGTGTGCAGCTTTTTAAGAGGGTACCCCAGCAGCCCTCTGTGTAGGTTCTACACTTTAATACAAGGTTGTCAAGATTGTAACAGTACAATGAGTGTCTTGTAGCCAAAGTCCGACTGCATTTCACACACCACTCAGTTCAAAACCAAATCTATGTCAACATAGTATTTCCTCATCCCAGTGCCTTCAAGATGTGCTGAATTCACTTATCTAGAATCCACCATCCAGGCTACAAGTCTCCATTGGCCACAGTTGTTTTCCATTCTGGGACCTGAATTCTAGCCGATGGATTCTGACAGTTAGTAAGACAACATATCTGGAAGGCACAAGACTGGGGAAAGCTGTTCTAGCCATATTGCTTTTGTGACAGCTGATAAACATGAAGCCTAGAAAGATATGTCACAAACAGCTGTGCAACTCAGAAGTATGGTAGAACGTTTGCAAACTAGTAAATATATGTGCTTTTACACTCAATGTAAAAGTTTTGTGGCCACTTAGATCTTTTTTCACACTACACAGATATAGCACTATGATTCCACTTTAAGTGTTGTGGCTGCATCCTGTGGAATCCTGGGAGGTTTTTCGTTTGGTCAGTGGTGCCAAAGGAGCTCCCAGGTTGAGGACTGTAAATGTCCTTTCTTAAACTACCCTAAGATGTTGTTATAGCAGTTAAGGAGGGACCATAGCACTACAACTGCATGGTGTGAGAGTAATCCTATATATTAGGTATTTTAACAAAGCTTTTTATGGAAAGAAAGCAAAGGCATTTTTTAAAAAACAAAAGAATTTATCCAGATCTGTATTTTTCCCCTTTTGCATCATACACATAGTAATTATGAAGAAACAGATATCATTGATCTTCCTGCTTGTTCAGCAGCAGATTGCCAGGAAAACAAAAGGAAATACCCCCAAACCAACATACCCAGCACCAGTGACTAAATCTGGATGTGGCAACACATCTCTGAGAAGATGAGGGAATCACTGCTGATAAAGAGGTGAACTTCAGCATGGTTTGTGGGGGAGAAGAGGAGAATTGGCACTAAATATGTATCCATTGTCTTTTATCCTTGCATCTCTAGAGGTAGTGTCATTTTTGTCCAGTATCTAAAACAGTGCAAATCCAGTTACATAGATATGTCATCAGCATACTGTAACAGTCTTTCCCTACCCCATCACAACACCTCCAAGTGGTGAAAGTGCATGAACCTGACCTAGCCAAAATATGATTCACAGACAAAATGTGACAAACATCATATAAACATGCCCTGTGCGTCCACACAAGGTTTTCTTTTTTCTATATATATAATATATATATATTTATAGGTTCATTTACAGTAGCAGAGTGATATTTGGGTCCCATGGCATCTCATCAGGTATGCAAATCTCTGCTGGTTTCCCTTTCTGACTCTAGATCTTCAGTTTTTGATCTCCAAGATGGATGGGTTGTGGTCAAGAATGGCTAGGATGATCTTGTCCATGTACTGGCGGAGTCTGTAGTTGATCTCCTCCTGTTCTTTAAGGGCTTCCATGAGCTGGAAAAAGGAAAAAGGGAGGCTTATATTAAAAGGTTGTCAAACCACCCCACCTTAATAAAAACAAACAAGCCAAAACCCCAGCTACACTTTTGACCTTCAGCAAGTGGACAAGATGGCAGAAACATAGTTTGCAGATCTCCAAGAAAGCTTCCTGCACTGAGCAGTAGGAGATGCAAACATATTAGTAATCTGGCCATTCTTAATGCATGGGACACTCCACATGTTGGCTACTACAAAATCAATGCTGTCAAAGCAAATTCAGCAGTGCTTGAATCTGTCAAAGCAAGCCCAGCAGTACTTAAAACTGGGCTTCAAAGTTTAGAGTTTACAATTACTCGTCTCCTTAACTTTTTGGAGGCTGGTCACTGAGATTTCTCTCTCTCTCTTTCCCCTTGCACTGCCAGTATGTTCATTTAATTAGCTGGAAAAGATTGCTGTTAAGCACTTTACCTCATCTCTGGAGGCAGAATCAATTTCTGCAGCCAACGACTGGGCTTTTGTCTGTGTTGCAAAAAGGTTCTTTGCTTCATAAAGACTGAGACTAAGAATCTGTCCATTCAGGTCATCGTTCTGGTCACGAAGCTTCTGATTCTCCTATAAGGAGAGGAAGGAGATGAGAAAGGAAGCATATTTCACATCTGACTAAATAGTGAACAATTCCCTTTTGTAATACTAAAGGGGCTTTTGTATGATTATGTCTTCTCTTAGGGGTACAGAAGAGCAAGTCTGATGCTCATAGGGTAATATGTAATATCATACAACAGACTGCCTTTTGCAAAATAAAATGCTATACTGGGAGAACACCTTGCTAAGTGGAACTGGCAAAACCAACAATGAGTGCTACTTGTCTAAGGAAACCCTATGAAATGCATGGCATCACCATAAGCCAACAGATAACTTGAAAACATACACGATGAAAGTTAAACTGGTACAGCTATCAACTACGGTTCTCTTTAGGTACATGTCCTTAAAAAATTAGGGTTCTTCCAGAAGTGGCCATAGGTTAAATATAAGGAAAGTAGTACATGCTATTCTCTACAGTTATTTGAAAATTTCCAGTATGAATATATTAACATGCAAAGTTTTGAATGTGTTTGGGTATAACATTTGTAACAGGTAACATGGGAGCATATTCTCCCATCTCCCAGAAAACCCCACCTCACTGCCTCTGTTGCTTTTTTTGTTTATCAATACCTTCTCTTGCAGCCAGCAGGAGATTCAAAAGTAATATCTAAGTTATGTTGACATCTGAATATATATATAATATTTTAAAGACACAGGCACTATTTGAAAGCTTCTAACCATGAAGAAAAGGACATCAGTTTCTGAGGTAGGCAATATTATGTTGGACTCTAGCCAATGGTCATTCATATCCTGCTCCTGAAAAAAAGAGCTCCTCTGCTGCTTACTTACTCTGTACCCAGTAGGAACTCACCTGCTTTAGTCGCTTAATTTCATGCTCCATTTCCACTTCCCTTGCTCTTGCACTGAATTCGCTCAAACTGGAGGAAGAACTTCTCCCACGTCCAGACCGCTCACATTCGAGCTTATACAACTGCAGGTGTTCCAACTCCTTTCGCAAATCCTCAATAAGCTGTACAAAAAGGGAGATACAAAAGGCCATTGAAGCAAAACCTCAAAATCTGGGCCTTAAAGCCAATGGGACAGATTAAGGAAGATGAACGTGTCTGATAGAACCAGGACATCTTAATGAATCTAGTGAGGGGTTCCGAATTTCACAAACTTTTTCTACATGGATGCTCCATATGACTGAGGAACCTGGATATGTTGCAAAGGATTCTGGCAGATGCTCAGTTTGCACAAGGCACCAATAGGTGTTTTAAACTTCACCAAATCTACACGTGAAATGATGTGATGCCTAAATTCAGTTATCCTATCACCCAACCTGGTGCCCTCTTATTATAACTCCATCATTCTCAGCCACAGAGAATGTCTGTTTGTTTGTTTTTGTTTAAAATGTAATACAAATGTCTGGTTGCTGATGACATGATAGATAGATAGATAGATAGATAGATAGATAGATAAATAAATAAATAAGCAAGCAAGCAAGCAAGCCACAGATGGATGGTAGGTGCCGTAGTCCTCAACACCCTCTGGGAGGCAGCAAGCTGGAAAAGGTTGCCATAGAAAAGCTCTGAAATGTGTCCGCGATCAAGAATTATAGAAAAATAGAAAGCTAGCATGGCATAGTGGTTCGAGTGTTAAGACTTTGATTCTGGAGACCAGGGCTCAATCCCCCACTCAGCCATCGAAATCCACTGGGTGACTTCTGGTAAGGCACAAATTCTCAACCCCAGAAAAACCAATTACAAGTTCACCTTAAACTTCTCATAAGTTGGAAATGACCTGGAGGTTTACAACAAGAAGAGACCAGAAGGCCTAGTTAAGCTCTCCCTATGCTAGTTCGGGAAATGTTTCAAGTTAATTTTGGCTCGGTTTGGATCACTCTCAAATAAACTTTTTATTCCAAGTATCAGTTCAGAACTGTGTTCTGGGGAGTATGTTTTCCACACACCATAATGTCAACATATACCATCATGGTTTCCATTGTTGCCTAAATATTATCTTTTGACAGGTTGGAAGGGCAGTGCAGAACTCGCCTAAAAGGCTAAGGAAAATCCCATTAGCATGCAGAGAAAGCAATTTAGTCTCATTTGTCAGTGGATGTGCAGGAATCCCTACCAATAGAAGGTTTTCTACTGCCAGAGTTATTGGCTAGCCAAAAGGGGGAAAGTAGTGATAAAGAAGGCTGTCTTTGATGGGGGGGGGGGGGAATGAATTCATTATGAGCTTTAATCTAAGATGCTGAATTTTAAGCAGTTCAGTATCTTGGATAGCCCTTTAAAGTTTATGCTAAAACCCACTGCAGAGTAACATCATTATCCCCCTTGATACTGCAACCATTAGTTATTGCTGTTTGCCAGTGAAGAAAGTGAAGGATAGGTTCTTCCAGGCTTAATTTGGATTTGGGCCTGAGCTTAGCCAAGTTAATTGAGGTTGGAGCCTAAAATAAACTCCAATTACATGCAGAGTGCATGCTGTGGAAGCAACTGGCATCTTCAGATAGTCCTGAGAGGGGTTGCCTCCCTATAACTTAGCTAAAACAAGATTTGACAAGCCAATAGAGACCAGTGAACAAAGGTTTTTATGTTCAAATAACAATGAACTGGGCCCATTCCAAAATGAGCTGGAGACGAAAGGGTAGGTATTCACCTATCTTTAGAAAGTCAAGTTTTGCCTTCATTGCATTTCAGAGGAAACTTGTGTGTGTGGCTGTAATTTCATTTGTTTGTTAAGTTTGTATTTTACCATTCTACCAAATGGTGCTAAAATAGCTAAAACCAACAATACAGAGACACCAAGTTTGATTCTTAAAAGCAAACAACACCCAATTACAACAAATTAATAGATCTACAAGTCAATTCACAGGCCAACAAACCTATGGTCTGCCTAAATAAATACAACTCACTGAGAGCATCTACAAGAGTGGAAAGCAACTGGAACAGTAGCAAACAGAACCTTTCCAAAACAGCAGTGTTTCACGATCTAACAAATGTTTCACAATCTCTCTATTCACAATTTGTAGACATTTCAATAAGCTCAGTTTGAGAAGTGTTGCCACTTCCTGACAACTCCTACTTCAAAATAGCATCAGGATGCATTTCTACTCAAGTTTTAAACAAATAATTTTTATTTCACTTTCACATCATGCCAAATATCTGTGTCACATGAAAATGTATGGTAATGTTCAGCCTGAGCTATAAAATCTTACTTTTTATAAGTAATAGTTTATAACAAAAAATAAATAAAGAAGACTCATCCACCTCCTGAGTAGCCTCCCTCTCCTTGTTAAATTCCAGCCTGTTCTGTCTCAGTTTGTCCATCATTCTTTTGTACAAATCCATTTCATCTCTGAGCCGCAGATTGGTGTCTTCCAATCGGTCTGACATTCGCTGCCTCTCCTGAAGAAAGAGAAAACACTGGTAAATTAAGAGCCCCTCAATAAACATGGGGGGGGGGGGGATACTGGCCAGCCACAAGGGCATAGGAAACATATGTCCTAATATGGCCTAATATAAAATGAAAAATCATCGCTCTATCTTATAAAAAACTGTCACTGCATGGGTCCTTCCTGGCATACTCCTTGTTCCAGGGTTAGGAATTTGAGAGTGTGCTTCCTTCCACACTGTCTAGGAATGGATGGGGGATAGATAGGGAACTGTAGCAAAATGGCAAGGATTTCTAACTCTCAAGTGTTTAATCAAACTGCATACCCTGCTAAAAGCAAAAGAAACTGCAGGTTGCTGAGAATGTGGAGGAGACAACAGATTCAGAAGTATAGAAAAGGACCATGATCTCAACTGTAGTTTCTGAAATATCCTGAGTGGCATATGTCCATGGACAGGCTGCTTTTTTCGGATGACAACTCTCAGAAAACCACACCAAGCCAAAAACCCTGTGGTTCAAAAAGTGACTTTTCCATTGCAAGCCTGAAGCCTGCCCATCTTTTCCCAATTTCATGCCATTTTCTGCTGCAAAAAGCAACCGCCTACAGGCTATCATATCATCACAGCATCTGAGTGACAAGCCTGTCATGAAGTACTAAAAACTAAAACAGGGCAAGAGTCGATAAGGCCCCAACAAACTCCCCCTCAATTGTTAGCTCCATCTTCTGATTTGAATCAGTAAAAAAGATGTCACATGGCTGTTCTTTTTCTGCTATAAGGGCTGACCCTTCCCAGCCTGTGAAGGGAAAGCCTGCTCCAGCAGCTTGGAGACAGATCAAGGAGATTCTAAGGGGAGCATTTCCCACCAGCCAGGTACCCATCCCCTGTCCTCCAAGTGACAGAAGAAGTTGTAGCCACACTTCTGATTCTTGCTTTCGAACTATTCAGCAAACATAAGCTGTTGCTAGCAAATCCAGAATTATTTTTGTGGAGTGGCTATGGAGTACATTTATGTGCAAATCTTTACAAAACCTCTCCATGCAATGCCACAAATTTATGACCCTTCTCCCTTGGCTTGGAAGACCGTGATGTTTGAACACACAGCCTAATGGGCAAAAACCTTTTGAGAAGGACATTGCTTTGGTCCATAGGCATGATATAAATACAATCAGCACAATGGATAACACCGATTAACACACATTTTGGGGCCTCAAATATTAGTCCTGTTTCTGGGTATATTTGATCTGTTGCTTCCAAAAGTGGCACTAGTTTCTCCTATCAGCTTTAGTTTGTGAGATACATAACATATGCTTTCTATCAGTAGCTATCTGCTCACTCAAAGAAAATCATGATACACATCTGAGAAACTAGAGCTCATGTGGGCTTTCCAATGCAATGTTCTGAATCCATGTCCCAAATAACCCCAGGAACACGCTTAAAAACCAAGACACCAAGATTTTGTTGTTGTTGAGCTGAGTAATAAATAAGAGTGCCAGGCTCAAACCACAGGGTCTCATATAGACCCTTTAGAAACCTTAATTTTTAAAAAACCTGACTTAACTATTGTTACAAATGGAAAGACAACATCCTGAACTCTAAAGAACCCCTTTTGCTAATTTAAACCTTGAAACATTAAATACAGATGAAACAATCAACCTGAGTAAAAGAAAATTATTTTGTCCCCACTAGCCCTGTACAGTTCCAAGCAGTTATAAAGTTCTCATTTTAATAAAAAGAATTGAAAAATGGAAAGCAAAACCAGAAATTGGCAATAATGTGAGATACTACGTAAAGTCTTAGTTAACTTATAGACCAGGTTTTTATACTCTGCACATTATATTCTCTTTTTTAAAAAATTGGAACAGAGGTAAATGACATAACTTTTTTTACAGGAGAAACAAACACACCAGAACCTGCAAATTTTGAATGAGATTATTCAAAGTCTTCAATTCACAGATTGACAGCCTGCACAAGAACCAACAAATCAATAATAGGTAGCACTCTACCATTCAACCAAAGAATCCTTCCATTGGTCCCTTTTATATTTACATCAGCACTGCAATAATGGACCACATAAACTGACCCAAAGAGCCCTCAAGCCCACCTTGAATTAAGTAATGCAGGGCTTGTGGCAATTAAAAGTGAGCATTGGCTTTGTGGATGTTATGGACTGGATTTAAAAGGGGGCCACGCACCAAGCATTCAAGAGTCTTCTTACCTCATCTAGCTTCTCAGATTGTGATTTCAATCGTAAGACTGTAGTTTTGAGCTCACAGTTTTCCTCTTCAAGTTCCTGAACCCTTGGAAGTGAAGGAAAAAGAATAGTGAAAGATTGTACACAAAATTGTCCATCTGTATTGCCAGCATATAAAAGTGTTTCTCTCATGATTTGGAAACAACATTAAACAAGATAGTGATGAAGAAACAGGTTCTCAAAAGTTTATGACAGGCCAACACAACTTTGAAATACAGTTTCCTCCTTCAGAGGGAATCAGAAATCAACAAATCTACACTCTTAGATTGCCACTAAAGAGGAGGGATGTAATTCTTCACGACATTTCTTCTTAAAGGTAGCAGCAAGCAATGTCATTAGTTTTCTTCTCATTACAAGAAAGTCTTTGAAACCACAAAGTTTTCAAAGTCTATTTACAATTTGGGACTCATGTGTGCAAAATTCATGTTACTATTTTCTACTAAGTCGGGAAACTGAAGTCCAGCATGAGTTTCTGCATATGGAGAAGCCTTGATAGTTTCAAGACACTGGTTGCCTTAATGTTGCTATAGCAAATATATGGAGAAAGGGGAAGTTGCTGGGAAAGTACATATGTGAATTTAATCTATAATGACAAAGCAGCGAATGTGCTCCAGTACCTTGGAGAGTAAGAGTCAACCTAAACAATATATGTAGCATCATTTTAGAAGAGATGCTAGTTTAAGAAGTGAAAAAAGATTGTTTCTCATAGCATTTGATTGGCCATAATTGCCTATCTTGCATTTAGGATGCTTGGAAAATAAACAAAGGGTAGTTTGCTGAGGGATGTGACTTGGGAGCCTATTGAGAGAGAAAAATGGTTTAACAGCAGAGATAGCATTGACCTTGGCAACTAGTTGGTTCACAGGGCATTCTTATGAGGCAATGGCAGCATATTCATATACATTACCTTGTGTTTAGTAGTTCAATTTCAGTGCTTTTCTCTTTTTCAGATTTGCTGTGTGCTTCCCGGTGCCTCTTTATCTCTTCCTCCAGAGTCTGCTCAGCTGATGTCTCTTGATCTTTCAAGAGTTCTTCCAGTTCATGGACTCTAGCAAAACCATGTCACTTATTTAGGCAACAATTCTACTGATACATATGGAAATAACACGTCCAATTATTATAGCAACTATTAGATGTGGCAACAGCCAACAGCAGGCCAAATAGGATTTGTTCCTTTATGATACAGCCATTTGCATTATGCCATGTAGGACCCTGCATCTGCTTCCTGATCATTCAAGAGACTCCATTCATTATCATCTTACAGATAGCAAGCCCAAATGTGTTTGTGTTCTTTTTTAAACAGCATAAAGAAAAATGTGTGATAAGAGAAGCAGCAAATCTGGAGAAAGAAAGGCTTCTGTGAAAGCTCAACTCAACAATATTCGTCACACATTTTCAAGAGGTTGTGGATCTCTTCCGCCTTTTCTGTAGTATACATTAGGCTATTTCTTACATAAAACTAGGATTGGTTCCTATATCCTGCTGGATTTTCTTGCAACTTGGATGATATTCCCCTCGTGTGTTTTAACTATATTTTGTAGCCAGAGTCTGGAAAGGTTATTTTTAAAAACTGTAACTCAGAATCCCACAAAATGTGTAGGATCTCTTCAGTGCAATCCCATGGATGTTTGCATAGAAATAATTCTTACTGAATTCAATGGGGCTTTACCCATAGGTAAATATGCCCAGAATTGTAATTGTATTCTTAAAAGGGGACTTTTCCAACCATTGCTTGTAAAGTCCAGCTCTATTTCTATTCTTGCTTCAGGTGCCTTTAGTTGCAAAACTGTTAGACTGGGACTTGGATGATCCAGATTCAAGTCCCCCTTCCACCCTGAAAGTAATCAGACAACCTACTAATGGGATTGTTCTGAGGAAAACATTGAAATGACAGCAATGTAGACCACCTTGGACATATTTGAGGAAAGGTGAAATGCAAATGAAGTTAATGAAGAGCTGCAACTACTGGTGATTGGAGAATGCACTCAATAACCACAAAAAGCTGTTGGCACACCAAACTATGTAGTAGCAATCAATTTCTGAATGACACCCTGGGGCAGCGGGCAGGATTTAGACTTCTATTCCCATCCTTAACTCTTCATCCTGCAATTTTAGCCAGTATTTGCTTTCTGTTCCTTAGTCGACTAAGACAACGCTGCTCTTCTTTTTAAGCAGGGACTTGATCATCTTGACAGTACACTTAACTCTGCCCTCCTTGGTTTTTGCAATTTAGTCCAAGCTGAGCTCCTCAAACACTGGTTTGGTTGGGCTACCTGTTAAACAGGGATTATGAAGGGTGGGGAAGAGAGGGAATTGCCAGCTTTTCTTCTTGGTCATGACTATTTCCAGCAACATTATATGAGACTGAACTGAACATTAGCACTTTGGGAGCAGCAAAGTTTTTGCTCTCTGATGCTTGTCATAATAAGCTCTGCCTCTAGAGAAGGCTGAGAGGCAACAGTGGGCAGAATGCTAAATTTACCTGTGAACTAGCTGTGTGTTCTCCTGTTTCAGTTTGCTCTTCAGGTCACCATTTGTCATGCTATCATTTTCCAATTCTGTTACTTTTTTTTCTAAATAAGTCACCTAGAGAAAGAAAGGAGGAAGTAAGTATTTTTCCTATGAGAATGAGGGAAATTGAAGAAGTGAGACCTTGTCAGTTTGTTTATTGTTCTCAAACATGGCACCTTCACCTGTGTTGGACTACAGCGCTCATCATCCACAACCGGCATAATCAACATCCATGCTGCACAATGAATCTGGCATTTCTAGTGCACCATATTGAGAGGCTGAGAGAGGGCAGTATCAAAATGTACATATGCAAGTTCACTCATACACTGTTATGTGAATACCCACTACCAGAATGAATTAAATCAGTGGTTTTCAACCTGTGGGTCCCCAGGTGTTTTGGCCTACAGCTCCCAGAAATCCCAGCCAGTTTACTAGCTGTTAGGATTTCTGGGAGTTGAAGGCAAAACATCTGGGGACCCACAGGTTGAGAACCACTGTATTACATGGTTTAAATATTTTACGTCATTAAACAAAATTGTATGGATCACACAACCCCTCTTGTAAACTCACAAATATTTCTGGTGAACTGGCAATTTTCCACACCATTATACAAGGACCCCTCACCTTTTCTGTGATGTCGTTGTCACATGAATCTATGCTATCTCTAAATAAGTCCTCTGTGCTGCCATTACTGCTGCTGAAGTTGCTGCTGTGGAACAGCTGTCTGTCAGGGAAAGACACAAGGAAAGCTGTTAACCCTTAGAAAAGGCAGCTGGAAAGCAAGCAAAGGGGCTCTGCCACTTCCTGCTAGTGGGGAAAGCTGTCAACACTGATAAGGAAGAAATAAAACCCAAATAATCAATGCCAGTATTTAAATGTGAAACTGCCTAGGAACTTCAGTCTGTGTAAAAAAAATTAAGACAGGGTTCAGCGATGCCTACTCTTGTGGGCCACTTATACTTTACAGTGGACCTCAGAGAACCACAACTCTCCCATCCATGCCATTCACATTCAAAATCTTTTTTGGAATTGAAAAGGGCCCTTCATATCTTCTACAGGCTATGGAGAAGGACAATTTCACTTCATTTTGGCTACCTTTCAAATGCCAAGAAGGTCCCCCACCCCACTCGAGTTTCTGATTTTGGAAAAAGGTATGCCTTGGGCCTTCAAATCTGTGAAGCTTAACTCCATGATTGTGGAGAGCCATCTGTGTCCAGTTTTAAGATAAGGTAATGAACAAGAACATCACAAGCACTTTCCCAGCTAGGAGAGCCCAACTATGGATAGATCGACACCTTCATATAATTCAGTTTCTGAATTCAGATTATCTGTTTTGAACTGGATTATATGAGTCTACACCACCATATAAGCCAGTACAAAGCAGATTTCTGGATTCAGAAACTGGATTCTACTGTAGTGTAGCTAGGCCCTACGATTAAGTGAAAGTGCAATTGCACCCTTCTCTCCAATCACTGATGGTAACTGATGTAATACAGAATGCAGAAACACTCACAGGACTCACATTCTCATGAAGTGACATACAAGGGCTCAGGACAATCAGAAATTCAACAATTTGTCCCAGCAGGCATATCAAGAGACAAAAAACCTTTCAACTGTTGCATTTTTGCCTTCTGATTCTGGTGCAACAGGAGCCATGGTAAAGCAATTTGAGGGATACAGTTGTCCCTCTTTGAATTAAAAGTAGACTGAGTAGCTTCTGATACAATTTTAATTTAACTACCAATCAAAACTCACAAAACTCTTTTCTACAAAGTCAAGTGTTTGAATATTTGCATTTAAAGATCATTGACTGTAAATTGCATTAGATGAACGTAAGTAAAAGATGTTTCTTACCTCCCAAAAGCAGTGCTAGATATTTTTCTGTTTGGACTGGAAAAAGAAAAAAGGATTTTTAACACATTAATCTCCAATTGGTCCTTTATGATTATGTAATACTAAAGGATTACTGCCTTTCCCCAGTGTAATGACATCCTGAGGTTGACTGCCTCTCATCCAAAAAGCCTTCATAGCTAGTAGCCATTCACAGTCTTATTTCCTCTAGGAATTTACTAATCCTCTTTTCAAAGGATCTATGTTAGTGCTCATCATCACAATTCTATAGTTCAAGCATACACAATGTGAAGTAAAACACCATACCAAGTAGAAAATGGATGAATTTATCACTAAAACAGGGCTGGTGAACTTGTGGCTCTATAGGAGGCAACACAAGACTTCTCCCATGATCCTTTGCCAGGGTGACAAGGGCAAATGAGAACTGGAATTTCAATCTGTGAAGGACCTTCAGTTTCCCATTCCCTGCACCAGAAAGAGATAAACATTCAAAGACCAGGAACTTTTTCAATGCCACACAGGCATAGTGCTATGATTCCACTTCACCTACCATGGTTCTGTCCTATGGAATCCTGGAATTGGTAGGAAGGAAGGGGCTTTAAGAATCCTCAGGCAGGGAGCTCCTCTGGTGTCTCTGACTAAACTACAAGTCCCGGCATTCCTCAGAATGCATTATATAATGTAAAAGAGGTATTTTGATTTGAAATGTTTGCCACACGGGCTTTCAGGATATGAAAGAAATCTTAGATGCATTTCTTAGGAGAAAGCAAGAATGCCAAAAACAGATTCTAAACTATGCAGCAGGAAATTCTCCCTCCTTTTATATGTGATCATATATATGTTGCATTTCATGGGGAGGTGGCTTCATTGAGCATTACCTCCCCCCCCCCCCAAAAAAAAAGATTTTGCAATGGCAAAGGGACAAATAGGTAAGACAAGAAAAAAAGCAAAGCTAAACTACTTAGCATATATGTATAAAATGGATAAAGTCCAGGGAAAATTATGTTTCTATTCAACTACAGAAAAGAGAATATATCAAAGTATATCAAAATAGAGCCTATTATTTATTTCATTTCATACCGCTTTTCTCAATCCCTGCGGAAACTCAAGGCAGTTCACAAAAAAGTAAATGGCAAAATTCAATGTCTCACAAAATATAAAATGCAATACATAACTAAAATAGCATATAACAATAGATTAAAACCAATAAACTATAAAACATCTGACGTAGATGGACATATGGTAAAATAAATAATCACAATCTGCCTGAACCCACAGCTTATAGCTCACAATTGCAAGGTTGTATAATCCATCGAATGCTTTCAATTAAGACAAGAATATGCAACTTGAGTTTCTCCAAATGTTTTGGGTTGCCATTCCCATTAAGCTAGGCCTTGGGCATGCTAGCTTATGGAACTGTAGTCCAATACATCTGGAGAGCACCAGAGTGGATGCCACTGATTTAAATGTTGCTATAAGGATGATAGGGGAATAGCTTGGTTATTCTTGTTCCCAATTGTAGAAGCAAACAATGGCTTTTGTTCAGTGAAAAAAGAAAGCCAGAGACGGCACAGAATGACTCATTCTGCAGTGCTGCAGAAGGCAGAAGGAGAGTCGTGATATTTTTCCAGATTTAACACAGCATGGATTGAACTTGCTTTGGAACCTTTGATGGAGTTCAATGCCCATGAGATGTGTAAGATAAGAAGTTAATGCTTCACACAAACATGGCTTCTGAGCAGCTTACAGTTAAATATATGCGTTTCAGGGTTGCAACTGGATTTAATTGGATTAGTGAGTAAATTAAAGCTCGATAATCAGATAAAAGAAATTTTAACTGATTGCCTTGCCTATTAGGGACACACAGGTTTATTTCTCAAAGCTGTTTTGGCACTCCCAACATTTTAAAGTAAGAACTGTGCCAAGCTGTTGATGACAAGAGGTCTTTCTTAGGGTCACTATAAGCCAAAGGTGACTTGATGACAAGTATCAACAACAGCAAAGGATAAATGTAAGATGACATAAGGTGGGTTTTCTGCTAACAGCAATAGTTTTCTGAGAAATTAAATAAACTCGGGCTTCCTTTAATATCTCAGGAAGGCATCAATACAATTAATATATATAGCTAATCAATATAAGCCAAACTGGCAGACTTGCCGTGCTGTGCGCTTTTGTTTTTGCATCTCCTCAAGTAGTTTCATGTTTATGACAACCTGAATACTGGGTATTCTAGAGCTGATTGTGTGAGACTTGCCCAAGGTAACTACTGGGTTTATATGGGGATTTAAATCCTGATCTCTAGAGTTGTGGTCTGATTGCTTAGACTACTACACCATGCTGGTTCCCTTAGATGTGTTTACACAGAGTAAGTATCACTGAATTCAGTGAGATGTAAAGGTAAGTGAGTCCAGGCCTAAAGCTCATTTAATAACTTTCTGTCATAATAACATCAGATCCTGACTTATCATCATGGCTAAAAATAACAAATCTGTGGATGTCTGAGGCTTCTTTTTCCTGAGATATATACTCCTGTTGACTATTCTGGGAACCCACTGTGCTCACTCACCTGTTTGCCTTCAGGTTTTTCAGCCTGGCTTCCAAGTCATTAAGCAGGTTGATTTTTTTGCAGCACTGTGTGCAGTAGACATCCAAGAGCTCGCTATTATAAATATGTCTCATTTTTCTTGGGGTTTGGCCGGCACTGGGAATAGAAAGGCACAGAGATGATCTTGGGAGTCTACATATCCCATTTGTTTTTACAAAGACACACACACCCTCCCATACTGAGCCTGTAGTCACAGCATTTGTGGCCAAATGCTACATGTTTGATTTCTAAACATCAAATCTTAATTTTTCTGTTTGGAGAAATGCTAGAAATTTTTCAATCTCAGGAAGACCTCGTGTCTGTGAGATTTTGTACTACAAGCAACTGCAAATACTGTCTGATCTGCAGCTTTTCTGTTTAGATTGTTCTCTGAATTGAGAGTGATGGCAAGGGTAGATTACAGGCAAAGCCATTACATAGATCAACTAAGTATGTCAAGATGTCTCTCTACAAACCTTTAGCACAGGGATGATGCTGTATTACAATGTCCATCATCATTAGCTGTGCTGGCTAGAGACCAAAGGGTTTGCAACCCAACATCTGGAGAGCCACAAGATTTATTTCTTAATTTCATTGCTGATTTCCTTTTATAGAGCCCTCTCCATGCCCACATGCCCCAGACAAGGCACTAGATCTTGTCCAATCTTGGAAGCAAAGCAAAGTCAGCCCTGGTTAGGCTATATTTCAGAGACGCAAAACTATCCCTGAGGAGACCTTGCTGAAGAAAGCCCTATGAAATTGATAAGACTGCCAGAAGTCAACAGGTGACCTTAAGGCTCACACACATGTAAATCCATTTCTTTGAAGAATGACATTGTCCTCAGACATTATCTAATAAGTCATTTTGGAATGATTGCTCTTGGAACTAGTCCACTGATACCATTTCAGGGTCTGATCTCTGTTGAAAGATGATACAGAAGAGAATCCCTTGCTTTGCTAGAGCTGTATTTCCATAGGTTCTGAGAAGGTGAATGCAACCAAGGTAGCCAATCCTAATGAGTGAGCAAGGTCTACACTATAGAATTAATGTAGGTTGGAACCGATTTAACTGCCATAGCTTAGTGCTATGAACTCCTGGCAGTTGTAGTTTGACAAGACTCCAGTATTCTGTGATCAAGAAAGCCTTAAAATCTTCAACTCAAATGATTTCATAGCACAGAACAATGGCAGTGAAAATGATGTCATGAATTCTACAGCATGGATGCACCCTACATCTTCTGGGTTCTGTATGTGTATATTCACATTTGGAGCGGCCCAGTACACTCAACTCAAGCTATAATTAAATTCCTCATAGCACTTCTTTAACCTGGAGCCCTTTTATGCTACATAATTATAGTGATATGTGACCACTTTACTACCATAGTAATATTCTGTGGAATCCTGAGAAGATGGAATTGATAATTTGGTCAGAGACACTACAGGAGCTCTCTGGATGAGACTCCTAAATGCCCCTTCCACAACTATCAACCCCAGAATGCCACAGGAGGTTGCCATCAGCAGTAAAAGTTGAATTGTAGAACTGTAACAATGCAAAATGAAAGGGCCCCATAATCACATAATGACTACAGTCCTTAGCTCATGTAAGCATACATAAAAAGCCTCCAGGATTCCCTGGAGCTTATTTCAGTGATGGCTAACCTTTTAGAGATGGGGTGGGGTGGGGTGGGGGCAAGCGAGTATGGTGAGTGGGGGTGAGCAAGGGGTCAAATGAGAGGGTGGGCAGGTGAGCGAGGGAGCAAGGGCAGGATGGCAAGCAGCGGGCAGGAAAGCAAGTGGGGGGAAGGCAATGGAATGTGTGCCAGGAGAGAGGGCTCTGTGTGTCCCTTCTGGCATGTGTGTCATAGGTTCACCACCACAGCTCTATTTAAACAAGCTGAAAGGTACTTATAAACCCTAATGCATGCGATCCTGTCTAATCTCAGAAGCTAAGCAGGATCAGCCTTGGTTAGTATTTGGAGGGAAAACTGCCACTGAATTCAGATGCTGTAGACGATATTTTCAGAGGAAGAAATTGTCAAACCACCTCCAAGCGTCCTTTGCCGAGGAAAAGCCTATTCATTCATGGAGTTGCCATAACTCAGTGGATAACTTGAAGGCTCTCTCACACACAAAGACTGAGCGTATAATTATTTTAAGATTCACACTTCCTAAACAGTTTTTCTGAGGGAGATATTTTAAAGAATAACACACTAAAGAAAACATGTTTTGGATCGTATTCTGCAGTTTGTAAATTGACATAAGATAATGTGTCACATTTCCAACAACCTTACTAGAATAACCACCTCCAACCTCGCACCTTTGTTTGTTTGTGGTTGTTTTAAACTCCCATTATCCCCAGTTCTTGGTCATACTGTTTGAGGATGGGTGGGAGCTGTATTCTAAAACATGCATTAGGGTAGACTGCCTTAAAAGTTGAATAAGATTTTCTTCAAGTTTAAAAAGAATGCAGAACCAAGAGCTTATATTAACAGAAAACAAAGTCACCAGAATCAAGCTGGCATGCAATTCTCCTCATGCAAGGTTGGGGATGGGTGGGTGTGAAACTGTTGAAATAGCCAACCTGGAAGAAACAGATGAGCCAAGATCAGAGTAGGCATTTGTTCTGCTTTCATCGTCAGGGCAAGGGCTGCTGGGGGTGAAGTCCACGTCATCTCCTTCTCCATAGTCTTCAAATTGTTCTTCATTACTGATCAAAGAGGCAGTGGAATAGGTGGAAAGGTCTGATGCTGCAGAGGGATTGAGGGGGCTGAACCTTGGGTGGAGAAGGGGACCATCAGGGAACACACATAGGGGCACAATAAAGGGATTTCCGCTATCATGACCAGAAGGAGACACTTCCAAACTCTCGGCCATACCCATTGCCCACTTAGAAAACATGGGTACAGCAGGGGGGAGGAATTAAAATAACAATGGCAAAGTTAATGGGGTTATTCTGTTCTTAGTCCAAAAGATTAAACAATCAATCAAACAAAAGCAATACAAGAAAAGCCCCCAATCTCCACGTTTTGGATGACATTCTTCATGGGTGACTCCATAACTCACAACCAGTTAATTGGTCTTACAGTGGTGAGACTTGAGTGAACCATGGGACAGGCATGGGGGTTAATCCTGGATCCTCAGTGGCTTCCCTCACTTTATAAACAAATGACAAAAGTAATGTATACTTGGTCCGCTTTATCAGAAGATGGTTCTCATTTGCATTGAAAACACTTTGTATGTTCATGTTACACATACTCATGGGAAAATGAGAGATGGCCTCCTGGGTGGCTGCTCCCAGGCCCTAGAACTCCTTTTCTAGAGAGACTGAAACTACCCTTCCATTGACAGGTGAAGTCCTTGAATATTTTCCTCACTTGTATCTTCACAGGAAGGTTCATATCACTTTGTACAAAGCCCAGCTAAAGAGATTACAATGAACTTGCAAAATCTTATCTCACAGTCTAAAAAGATTATTCTAGTTTTAACATAGGTAGTTTTAACAAATCATGCCATTTTTGAGCCCCCAACACCCTGGTTCAACCTTATTAGGTATAAACTACTTCAGAACTGCACAAGGCCAGCAATCGTTCGTTACTGCTCCTTAAAGAAATAATGAAGGGAAGGAAACACACTATTGCACAAGAAAGCCAAAACTGAGCAATGGTTAGAGAAGAAATGGGGAAGAGCAGCCAACAAATCACATGCTGCCCCCAAACTATTTTTGACAACCAATCTCCTCATATTGAAAAATAAATGGCAGATGATTATGATGATGACTATGTATGGAAACCACCCCTAAAATGTGGCAGCTTGCCTTTTCTTCCCCTACAACACTCCCCCAAATCAGCCAAAACCAAAATCATATTTGTTGGAGTGCAAATATGCTGCTGTAGCCAACTAGAAAGGTATGGAGGAGTGAAAAATGGCCCTTCTCTCCAGGTTTGGAAGGTCTAAATGCAACTGTTAATTTAGCATCAAAGCTCATTAGATGAGTTTGGATCAATCAAACCTATTTTGCAATCTTGTTGTGAAGTGAGAAGAGAATCTTGTATGTCAGGGTTAACAAATCTACAGGTATAAGTGAACTGGTCTGACTACCCAGGAATAATGAAAAATACAGACTTAATATCTGAGGGCCACAGATTGCTCACCCAGTAATATGTTCCATAGGACTCCTTTAGAGGAAAGTGGGACAGAAATGTAACAAGCAACTGATTATGGGTGTGATACAAGGACAGCTTCAAGCAGAGAGGGAGTTTTGAGCTTGCAGCTAAATTAGAGTTTTACTTGCTTAGTCATTATTTCTTTATGCCCTTGTGTCCTCTATGGTCTGTGTACTTCCCAAGCCTAAATAAGCCCAGAAGACCTTACTTTGTATTTATTTATTTATATTATTTATTTATATACCATTTTTTCTCTCCACAAAGGAAACTCAAAGCAGCTTACATTAACAACATTTTAATACAATTTAAAATCTACAAATATTAAAATAGAATAACATATAAATGTTATTTAAAAATTCACAGTTAAAACCCATAAAAACTGATTTTAAACATATTCAAAGCTAAAACCATAGCACTCCCTGATTGGATCTTAAAAACCTTCTAAGAGCCTGCCTGAATAAAAATGTTTTAGCCTGCTGCCGGAAAGATAGCTATTCTGGTTTCCATGGGCAGGGAGTTCCAGAGTTGTGGGCAGCCACTGAGAAGGCCCACTTTCTCGTTCCCACCAACTGAGCTAGCAATTGAAGAGGAAAGTAGAGAAGGACCTCTCTGCAAGGCACGGACAGGCTTATAAAAGGACCTGAGCCATATAGGGTTTATAACCAGTACTTTACATAGTCATGCTTTTTTCTGTCCAGCTTGGGACTCATATAGCTTCCTCATTTCTGTATTTGGCTCTGCTTATCTGTTGAGTAAGAAAAACATTATACCTACTCTTTTTGCATGACAGCTCAGTCCCTGACAGCTCAGACTTTTATTGCTTGTTTATATCAAACCCGAGTGGGGAGAGGAGAGAGAAAAGATACTGATCTTCTAAAAGTATTTTGCTTCCCATAGAGCAGGTGTGAGAAGTATGTGGTCTACAGATGTTGCTGGATTGCATATCCCATCAAAACTCACAACTGGATAGTTGCTGACTAGAACTGATGGGAGTGTCAAGTCTACAACATCTGGAGGACTGTAGGTTGACCAGTCCTGAATTAGAGGAACCAGGTATTATCTAAAGCTGACTGATATCAAGTTGTTTCTCATTACTCCTAAATTATATGTGACCCTGACATTCCATATTTTCACCTCGAATTGCAGCCAGTGATATGAAGGCAAGAGTTCCATCACTGACAGCCAATGATATGAAGACACCAGTTCCATTGCTACCTACTGTGAAGAACAAGGAGCTTATGGTAAGGCTAGAAAGAACAGGTGTTTTTAAAAAATGAAAATCTGAAAGAGCCTCTCAGCTCAAATTTTTCACTTACTTATCTCCAGGCAAGAAGAGACCACCTAGCCCAGCATCCTTCTCCTCATTTCTGCTGCACACATCCGATGCTTCTGAATTGTGGACACTTTCAATGGCACTGTCCATATCTGACTCATGGTGGACTTCTTGTTGGGCCAGGGTCATGTTGTCCTCATCGGGAAAGAGATCCGATTCACTATATGCACCTTCACTGTCCAAATAGCCACTGTCTTGGATTTCAGAATTCTAGGAAAGGAAGAAAGAGGGAGAGGTCAGCAATTGTTTGGAATTGCTAAAAGCTGGAACGACATGGTGGTTGCTCTGGTGGATTACTGCCAAGAGAATCTAAGCACTATTGCTTTTTAAAATGGCACAACCAACTAACTAAATTGACATGCTGTCATATTTTGGTACATAGAACTGGATTTGGTTTTGATACACAGAAAATATGTTGTTGTTTTTGCTATCTCTGGAACAGCCAACATGAGCTGAGGTGGAGTTTGAGATGTGGCCTGTTGCAATTTGGGCACATATTTTTCAAACAGATCAACACAGTACACTGAAATGAACTGAACAAAATGTGTTTTGTTTTTAGACGGATTCAGTACCTCTAAATCATTAAGCTTTGTTGTTGATGCTGCATACTTTGAAGTCATTTCCGACTTTTGGCAGCCCCGAGGCAAACTTTTCACAGAGTTTTCTTGGTGAGATCTGTGCTTTTAATCTTCCTTTAAGTCTAAGAGATTGTGACTTGCCCAGTTACTCAGTGGGTTCTACAGCAGAATGGAGATTTGAAACTTTATATCCAGAGTCATAATCCAACATTCAAACAACTATACTGTGCTGGCTCTCGGGTTTCACACACAAATCATATCTCCATACATGTCAGAGTGGCTTGTAACCATGTGGGTTTTTTTTCCTTTTCAAACCCCCCCCCCCCCCCAATCTCTTGGCTCAAAACACGTAGTTTGGCATCTTTGCTTAAGTCATTTGAAACTCTTTGATGCTCAGATTAGTGTTGGTTCCTATTCTCTGTCATAGGTTATTACAACCCATGTACCAGCTGACTTCATGTGTTGCTGAGATATAGTAGTGTCCAATGTGGTCCAATTATTTTCTGTTTTCTTAAAGCCACGTGGATTTTAAAACTCCCTGTTTCTTAACTATTTTACTTTAGTAATGTCCAAGACAATAAAATCCAAGGTAACCTTGAGTGCCTTTCCAGTTTGTGTAACTACAGTCCAGAATGCAAACAGGCGCTTGGTAAAGCCTGTCTTTGGAGAGATGAAAACAAGGTGAACCTGGCTTCCTCTTTGATTACAATTACATTCAGAGGTCAGAAGGGGATTTCTTAACTTAAGCAACTCTGTACTTTCAAAGAATGTTTGAAAGTATTAAGGATAAAGGTCCTGAGCAGATTCCGATACATCAAATTAAGTATCAGACTAGAGTCTATCCACAGGCTATTGAAGGTCTGTCAATCGGTTTCAGTGCTGACAGCATTAAGTCTCACTAACATTATAAAACAACTCATTAACAGACCCACTAGCAGTGCTATTCTTGGGACACATTATTATAATTCTGATTTTCATCCCCTTCACTCTGAAAACTACAGCAAATATGAGGCTGAACACATATTTATTACCAAGACAGGTATATTGCCCAGAAGGTGAACTCAGCTTACTAAAGTGATGTAAATCAATCAAATCAATCAGATTACTTTACTGGATAAAGAGCAACACTCTGGCAGAAGTTTCAGGCTTCAACCTAAGGGTGGGAAAACAGCATAAGGCTGTTATCCCATACCCATTTACATAGGGAGAAGTCCCGTTGAAATCCGTGGAATTTACTTATGGGTAGACATGTATTTCATTGTTGTATGCTTTTCAAGTCATTTCTGAGTTATGTTAACCCTAAGGTGACCCCATCACAGGGTTTTCTTGGCAAGATTTGTTCAGAGGTTTGCTTTTGCCTTTTTCTGAAGCTGAGAAAGTGCAACTCGCCCAACGTCAGGCTTACATAGTTCAATTAGGATTCAACCCTGTCTCCACTCATAATCCAGCACTCAAACCACTACAACACATTGGCTCTTAGACATGTATAGATCATGCTATTCATAATTTTCCTTTAGGAAAGGAAAGAGTGTCATATTTTTAATCAAAAAGCATGAGTAAAAAGGAGGTAGCAAGAGTTTTGGTTAGTCAATGCAGCACCAAGGAAAATAATATATTAAATAGGAACCAGAAGCTTGTAGTGTCATGTTTCGTATGCTCTAAAAGGAAGAAAGTCCACCTTCGACCTAATTATTTTCCCTTGCAAGTTAAATCTGATAAAATGTATGACTGAAATCTCAGCTTTCAAAACGCCCTGTAGCAACAACTACGAGAAACACAAGTTCTTATCTACCCATTTTCTTTGTGGAAGACGGTCAGCAAAACCAATAGTGGGAGTCTGGTATCAGAAATAACAAAGTAAGCAAAATGGCTTGGGGGACATTTTAAGAAAGGTATTCAGCATGAAAAACTTCCTTGAAAATTTCCATCTTGTAATGATTTCAATGTTAGGCTATGTAGCCAAAACACTGTCCTTACAGAACTTCGAACACAACTTCTAGAGCACAATTTTGATTCATTTGCTTTCTGATGGCAAACGGGAGACACCAATTTTTCACCTTAAGGAACCTCTTGTTACTGCACAAAATGTTTTGTGCCAACACATCAGAACAAGAGGTGTCACTACTAGAACTGACTGTCCCAACCTTATGATCTGCTGCAGTTATTTTTAAGGACACAATACTTGAGCCCCATGGTATTGAGCAGCTAAGATTCTGCAAAATCCACATTTAATTATCTAATGGTTTCATAGGATGGCTAAGCGTTGGGATAGTTAATTCCAGTGCTAAGAAGAAGAAAGATTAAAACCAAGGGTAGCACTAGGTTCAATGATAGGCAAATTAGAAATGGGGGGGGGGGAATTTAAATCTACTTCTTCATTCTTAAAATTTGGAAACATGAACAAATAGGATCTGAATTGGCTTTCTGCTGGTGTCCTTTGAAAGTCTTTAACTACTGTTATTACCATGCCCCACCAGCATGGCGGTGCCCCATTGGTGCTTTCCTGGTGGCACCTTTGAATGAAATCTCACTAAACACAGTAGACTGGGGCATGAATAGACACCTGGAGAGGTGGCCAGGCATGCTGAAAGGAGAAATAGCTCACTTCCAGTCATTCGTATATCCTCAGCTCAATGCTAAGAAGAAAATTATGGGGCCAGGAGGTTGTGTGCCTTCAAGTTGTTTCTGACATATGCAACCCTGTAGTGGTGTCTTCTTGGCAAGATTTGTTTGAGGGGGGATGCTTTTGCTTTTCTCCGAGGCCAAAAGAACATGAACCCTGGTCCATCATTTACCACTACACCATGCTGATTCTTGGGGGCCTATATGTGCGCTCATTTTTTGTCTGTGATAGAACACAACTGCCTTTGTTTATTCCTAATACCACATATCTTCCAGTTCAGAGTCTGACACTGAAAAATATTCCAGAACACAGGTGGATAAAATAAGCCTATGGGCCATCACATGTAGACCCCAAATGCTTTTTTTGTGTGGGAGGTGAGGGTGCACTTCAGTGGGAATCAGCAGTATTTGAGATTACTAGCAGATTGGAAGCAGCATTACAACCAAAGAACAGACATATGAAGAGGAGACTCCCACTCTCCATCTCTTTTCTAATAAGTACTCTGTGTTACCAAGGAACTCTGTCTCACTTCTATTTTAAACTTTGACTCCAAGAAAGTAGAAGTTACTCAACAAAAAAATAAGCAGCAGCAACTCATGTGAACAGCCCCAAGGACAGTGCTCAGGAAAGTTTATTTTTTGACTCCTCAAAGCACAAAAAATAAGAAAGCAAATAAGTGGAAGAATTGAGTAACAAGGACAAGATGGAAAAGGAAGAGCATCTGGCTATGAACAGAAAGGTGAAAAAGTGAGGAGATGAAAAATCGGAAACACAGAGTGAAGGATAGGAGCAAAATGCCGGGACTGGAAATGGAGACAAACACCGAGTGAATGTAATGAGAAAGAAAGCAACTACAAACGAAACATAAGATTAAAGTCAGGAATGAAGGAAAGAGATAGTAAGTGAAGGGCATATGTTGAAGAAGGATTGTCTTCACAAGCAAGACCCAAGTGGGGATTGTCTGTCTTTTTGTTTTATGTTTTAAAATACAAAATGAAGCTACAGTTGTAGCATCCTCTTGTTCTTAGCATCTCATTAAAAAAAAGATAATGGGATCAGAATAGAAGGGCTGAAAAACTCAGGAAATAAATATTTAATTCTGAAAGAACATTCTGAAGGACAAAAGAGAGATGGAAAGGATGTTAATGCATCCAGCAGAAAAAAAATACTCTCACCTGAGAAAGAAACACTAAGCAAGAAGGAGAATTGGGGCATCCCACCTTGTTCCTTGCCACTGCTGTTGATACACCACACAAGTATGCATCTTGAGGTGTCTGAGGAAGACACAGTAGGCCATACAAGCTTCATATTCCACAAAGGAAACTTGATCCCTAACATCTTCAGCAACCTATAGCTCATCAGAGAGGATATGTACACATGACAATTAACATCATTCACTGATGAAGAGATCATTCAATTACTCTCAGTGGCTTCAGCAGAGCCAATTGCAGCATAGCAACCATCTTGGGTATCTCATAGAGCCAGAGTTGAAGGGGAAGTAACTGATTTTTTTTGGAGTACAATTCCCAGAATCCCCATTTCAGCATAGCCATCAGGTTAACCTTCCCCCAGCAAAACATTTTAATGTGATAAACTGATGGAAACTGGAGATACCGGTTCTGCTGGAATATGAGTGACTGGGTGGAGGCCATGGTGTACATACTGTGTATGTGCATGTAGTAATGAGTAAATCAATTGGTTGTACTAAGTATCCTACTTCCCATCCCACCCCATGGAGAAACACTCTCACCACATGGAGAAAGCCCTCACAATGAGGGCTTCATTCAGAATGATATTTTCCATCAAAAAGGTGACCCCCCCCCCCAAACAGGCTGCAGCTGCCTGAGTTGTCCAGTTCCCAAAACAAACACAGTGTTAGAAAAGCTGCCCTCTCACAGCACTGAAGGACAGGTGGTGCATAGAGATGTGTTGGGCTTGGCAGCCATAGACCTAAGCATTGCTCAAAACACGACAGGGAAACAGATTTCCTTGTTTCATTAAAAAAAAAC